ATGGCCTTTCTAAAACCTTTGTTTAGAAAACAGAAGAGTAATGACAGAGGCAGGATTATAAACTAATCTTGCAGGGTAACAGAAAGCTGGATTTTACGAAATAACACTTAAAAAAACCAACTGAGATCTTAGAAAAGAAATAGTCACATAGGCACATAGTCAACGTGCTGACTTCACCAGGTGTTTGAGAATGTGCACAGGGAAACATCTGTGTCTTCAACCAGAAAACAAATGCAGAACTACGTGAAGCACATTACGTGCATGATCCAGATTAATTTATAAAGGTAGTGTGAAACTTGGCAGTGTTTAATAAATCAGATGGAGGACAATGAGATGGCAGGGCTGAGTTAGTGAATAATGTTGCTTTTATGATCCCTTTTTCATTTTTTATTTCAAAAACAAAAATAATCATAATTTTAAAAACAAACACAAACGATACAGGTTTTTCTGTCGGGAAGAAAAATTGGCTGGTGCTGTATGTTCCACACATAGAGGAATAACACCTGTGGTGGTGTTCCTAGTCAGTGTGAAGGAACTGCTCCTGTCGCCGTTGTTTCTTTTATCACTAAGTTGAAAGACAAATTCTAGAGCAGAATGACATAATGCTTAGATCTTGCTCAGATGTGTTCATAACAGAGAATTAGAAAGTACCTTGGTGTTGTGGTTTTTAGGTATGGGGTTCAGTGGATTGAGTAGATTCTAGTTAGGACTCTTTGTTTAATCTAGTCACTGTAGACTTTATGCTAGTAAAACACAGACCTCGTGAACAGGAAATAGATAGTTGACCTTCTCTTTAAAGAAAAACTAATCATTAAGAGTGTTGTTTGTAAGGGACTGATAGTGAAATAAATACACGATTTTCATAGCCCTGTTGTACGGAATAGGGCTTTGAAGAAGAATAAAATGTGAAAATATTTCTGAAATCGTTTTAGAATTTGCTGTGCAAATTGATAGGTGAGCTGCTTCTAAATGTGTTTATTCGAAGTTCACAGATCATTAGTAAGGTGAGTATTCTCTTTTTCATGAAGAGGGATGCTGTCAATCCGCTATTTTGTTCAGTGGTGAAAACAATGGAGATTTTTCTCTTTGATATTTTAAGTGAGAAGATATTAAAAGAGAAAGAACTATTAGAAAATACACGGCAGGAAGGAGGAGGATTAGAGAGTTCCTTGGAGAGCGTAAACGCAGTATTAGTTGTAACAAAATTGCAAGAGCATAAAGATCATGCAAAAAATACTAGTTCTGTCCTTTTTATTGTTTTTTTTCTTGTAGTGTGGTGTTCCCTTCCAAGAGGAAGATGTGATTGTCCTTAATGGTAATAAAGAAGATGTGGACGTACTGAAGAAAAGAATGGAGGATAGAAGACTTAAAATTAAATTGGAAAAGGTAATCTTTTTATACATATATAATACTAGTAATGAGCTAAATCTTCCCTGTATTTCAGTCTTAATTCCTGATGGCTAATTATTAGTTTTTCATCTCCAGATATGAAATATGTAGAATACACATTCATTATGCATAATACATACGCATACATATATTTACAAACATGTCATAATTCCGATTACTGGGAGGTAACTTTTACTTTGTAAATCCACCCATAATTACAAATGTGCTTTTTTTTCTTTGTGTACTGAAGGAGAGACGTTTCCTGTTGGAATAGTAGCCCTCTGCCACCACCTTCTGGCTGAGCTTTGCAGAAACATGTGGTGTAGCTTTTTTTTTTTTTCCCCCTCAAGCATTAATCATGTACTTGACAGCATGAATTCTCTTAATTTTTACAGTGCATTTGAATATATTTATTTTCTCTGAGTTTGTGTGTCTTTCTTGGAATGTATGCTCCATTCTAAATGTATACAGAGTCATCTTTTGGGATAACACCAATGGGATTCTTGTTGCCATTGTTTGGAGTTTTTGTGATTTTTTTTTTTATTTTTTTTTTAATCTGGACAAACATAAATTACCTTGGAAAATGTGTTCCACAGATGCTTTTTAAAAGTTTAGGTTAAATATATGCATCTTTTCTTCCTAAGCAATCCTGCAACAAAGGGCCCAGGTTGTTACCCAGGTGGGATTTTTTTATTAACTAAATAAAATAAAGTGGATACGAGGTGCAGGATTATTCTGAATTTTTTTATTGAAAAACTTCTCTATTGATTAGAGTTAACTGTGTCCTGTTTAATGTCATGCCATTTACTGTTCTGTGGTGTGGGTTTAAAGTGTCAGATTACCTTAATGATGGTAACACACACACACCCCTCCTGCAAAGTATACAGTCCCCAGTAACCTATCTAGACAGTTTAGTTTTGGCCTGCACAATTTTCTCCAGGGTAACTTCAAGGTTACCGTAGTTATTATTTTTCCTTATAGAAACAATGCCAAAAGCGAGGATTAATATTGTGGAAGGAAAAGTTCCACTGCATAAGACATAAAAGCTTGCCGAATGGAATTGTGTGTCTATCAAATCCAAGGTGGGAACCGTATACACTTTGAGTACGTTACCAGATTTCTGCTTGTGTTGTTTCAGAAATCCAAGAAATGTAAGTCAGCAGAATCAGCTTCTCAGCAAGATACCGCTAAAGGTAACGTCACAACTACGAATTATGTGTAGCTGCCCGAGTCACAAAGCGGGCTCACAGTTTCGTTGGTTTTACTTTCATAGATTCTCCAGGCCCATCAAAGGCTAAGAATGGAAAGGATTTTACCAGTTCCAGTTCTGGGGAAAAGAGGCAGATAATCTTCACCAAAAGTTCAGGTTGGTGTTTATTCTTTGATGTGAACACATGTGAAAAATGTGAGCAAATTTGCTTTGAAAAATATTAGAGGAGAGATCATTCTCTGGCTGTTTTGTAGCATAATTTTCAGAAGCTACCCTCTCTCTTCCTTTTTCTTACCTTTCTCACTAATAAAAGGTCAGCTTCTGTCTTCAAGGGAGCCTTAATGTCATGGCCCTCTTTTTGCGTTTCCAAGCTGCTGTAGGAACCTGCCTCATGAACGTGCACCAATCCCCTTGTTCAGTAGAAACTGTAGTCGCTGTAACTTCTTAAAATGGAGCTTTGCTTTACAATCTGCAAAATCTACAAAACTGACTCTACAGGAAGTGTGTGAGAGCTTGTATTTGTCTATTTTTCCTTATTCTGCCTGCTTTACCTTTGTCCCGTCTGCTATCCATCATCCTATACTCTGAGTAAATAGTCCATAGAGTAGGAACTGTCTGTCACAAAATACCTAAACCAGCAGGCCTGCTGCTCACGCTTGTGACTGCCAAGTGCTGTGGTGATGCAGATAACTACTAAAAATAATAAACAATTTTTACCATGTTGCTTTTTTTTCCCTGCATTGTGAAAGAAGCCAGATTTCCTTGTTTTTGTCATTCCAATATTGCTTTAAGTTGATGGGAACCGACTTGAATGAATGAGACTAGAGATTCTTATGCACACAGTGCTATAGTCAAGGGTTTGTGAATCTGTTTTATCAACTAGGAGGTTGTGTGAGAAGAAGTAGTGGTTGTTCTACTAAAGTACAAATGGTCAAGAAACGTGTTTTGGCAGCTTATTTCCATGAAGTGTATTAAAATAGCCCAAGCTGGTGACTTGACTTTTTAATCTTCCATTTTAACTGCTAATTTGTTGTATGTCACCGGGAGCAGTGCGGTGTTAACTTCAGGATGTACCGATGTCCCTACAGTAGTTATGCAGCTGTGGGTTAGCTTGGCAGTCCTTTAGGCCAAAGGATGGTGCCCTCCCTTTACGTAATTTGTGTATATATATATATGTATGTATTACGTTATTTAATGGCTCCAATTCATTCTGATGTTTTCATAGAGAACCATAGGAACGGGTACATTTTTTTATGTCAGTCTGAGGTTTCTGTGTGAAGCATTCAATCGTGTACATTAAAATGCCAAGAAATGTCAATAGAATTTGTTTGAAGAATCTGAAAACAGTTAAATTATGAGCTCTAGATAGAATTTCCATCAGAAATGCCTTACCTCTGCCCCCTACTGTCTGTTTATTTCAAAGAGTAGGCTCTTAAAAATACTTCATTCCAGATCATTATAATTGCTCTTGGATGTTCAGAAACCTAGTAATTCTAATCATGTTTGATGTATTTTTCTTTTCCAAGAGTATAAAAGAAAAAAAATGCCTTTTGAAATGTCAGGTCACTGGTTTATATTTCTGGCAGCAGTTATATTGACCAGCAAGAGATTAAGAGGAGGGAGGAAAAATAAAGAATCCATGGACTGAGGAATGCCAGTAGCAAAGGAATTAATGTGTGAACATGGCACCCTGAGGTTTCTGGACTTGCAGCATACATATTCATCTTTCAAATCCAGGGTTTGGTAATTCTTTCCAGACAACTGTTGGTGGTATTCAAAGCAGCATTCTCCAAATGTAAAAAGGGTCTGATCAGGGATGATTTAGGGTTGCACATACAATTCCTATAACTGCATCAGTAAAGTGCATTTTCTGACTGGCTCCCTCTACTTATTTACGTGCTGTTATGCCTAATTTAAACTAAATACACAGAGTTTCTGCAGGCTTCTATGTCTGCGTTTCTTTGCACAAGAGACTTGGCACATGCTTTTTAAAACACTGCCCTTCGACTTTGGAGAAGACTGAATGGCTGTTAAGAAAGAGAGGGTTGGGGTTTTTGTGGCAGTAGATACAATACAGGCAGGGAGATGGTATCAGGAATAGAGGGATGGGCATTTTCCTGTCCCAAATATAAAATGATGCAGTCCATTGTTAGTGGTGTTAAATGGCTTAAAGGGCAGGGATAGATTCTCTGGGGACAGTATGTCACAAGTTTAGCTTTTGTCATGATAGCTAATTTCTAAACAATACTTCAGAGTGGTGGAATACTTTCATGTTTCTTTCTTAAGACTGTTTTTCACTTAAGAGGAATAAGTGCTGTCAATACTGAATTACAGTGCAAGGAATTTAAACAAGTAGGAAAGAATTCTTCTCTTCCCAAGATTTCTAAATGCGTTTCGAGCATAAATTCTAAAAGCCAGGAACGTGTTTGTTAGACACATATTTGCTGTTGAGTACAACCATGGGACATTTTTGTGATAGCCCTAAAAATGTATATACTTAATTTCTGTATGCGTTATTTTTTGAATACTTTTTCCCATCTTTATTTAAATATTTTTGTCATTCGTAAGCGGTTATGCATGCTTCATTCTGTTCTTTTTTCTCTGCCAGATAATGGAAATTCGTCTGTACCAGGAAAAGTCAATAAGGCTTCTTCTACTACTACGAAGAGATCCATTGCAGACAATGAGGAGAAATCTGAGGCATACAAATCTATTTTTACATCACACAGCTCAGCAAAACGTCCAAAGGAGGAGTGTTCCAATTGGATTACTCACACAGCATACTACTTTTGAGACAGGGATGAACCTGATTGTAACATTCTTTACTGCTTTCCTTCCCTAAGGCTTTTTCTGTACGATTCTGGTACAGAACTTTTGTTGTAATCTGACGTTAGCTGGAATTATTCCATTTGCAAGTTGTTTATAAATTTGTGAATAACTAATGAATTTGTGTTAGCTGCAACTTTCTATTAAAAAAAAAATAGATCTACAGAATCCATATTTTATCAGCAGACCTCATGCCAAAATGATGGATTATTGCAGAAGAATGTATCGTTTCTTCTCCCAGTTGGGTGCTGTCATTCTTAGTCACACTTGCTAGTGTCCTCAGTAGTAGGAGTGAGGGTAGAAGGATTTGCCTCCTGTCCTCTTCTATTGATATTTGCCACAACTGGAATTGTAGTTTTCAATGTATTGGTACAGAAATTCAAGCTTTTTGAAACTTTCTGACAGTACAAAGAGTGGTAATGCTTTTTCTTTTGTACTAGCTAACTGGGCCCTCACTAAAACTAGTGTATGGTTCTCAAAGCTTTTGTAGGTATTTTCAAGTAATTTGCCTTTTGATGGAATATATGAAAGCGTTATTATTTTAGCAGAGTATTCACTTGTGAATCATTATCTGTGCAGATGAGCCTGTAACAGTAAGGCTGGTTTTTGCGGAGAAGTTTTTTTGAGTTTTCTTTGTTGGGTGTGTTTTAAGTTAAGTTTTAAGGTCTGAGCTTTCTTCTGTCAGAGGATCAGAATACAGTGAAACAGAAGCATGAGTTTCCTTTTCTGGTGGAAGGGGAAGGTTCTGTGTACATCTCTGAGGAGCAGTTTGCCATTTCGAATTCAGCAGCTTGCATGGCAATACCAGCATTTGCACAGGGTGAGAGCAAGAAATGGGTGGTGACAGAATAGGCAGATCTTAACGGGCTCTTTAGGGAGAAACAGTTGGGCCCCGGTGTCATGCGAGTGGCTGTGAGGGAACCCATGAGGCTGGAGTTCCCTTCTGAGAGTGTTTCTCTTTCACTTGGGTGACAACTGAAATGTGCTGCTTTCGCAGCGTCTGTAGTACCTGTCATTTTATTTTCTGACGCAAAATCCTTAGCAGCAAACAGCTGCTTGACTGTTAATTGCTCGTTACAAGAAAGATGCTAAGAATAGTATGTTACTCAATTTTGCTTTTGAATTTATGCTTTTTATCCCTGTGATGCTGATTTGAGCAAAACTTGCTCTTGTCGTATGACCGTAATATTAACTTCATGTTCAGTTGAACAGATACACAAGAACTTATTTGGTCAGTGTTAGAACAGAGTAACTTTTTATGGGCTTTCCTGTGGCGGTTTTATTCTTCACTTTTTTTTCCCCGAACACAGGAATCCTTTTAAAATATTAATATTCCATATGAATGATTTAGTGGCTGAATATTTGAATCCAATGATGTCTACATGAAATGACCAGGGGGAGAGATGGAAGCTTTTCACCTTCTTCTCTTCAACTTTTAGAATTAAATTATGCCTTTATAATCTTGGCACAAACTAACCAGAATAGACATGTAGAAAGTAGGAGGCTTTGAAAACCACTACGCGATGTTACATTGTTACCTTTATGTATGAAAATGATTAATTATCTTCATAATTTATTTTTTAAAGTGTCCCCACTTATAATTCACAATAGTTAATTGGATATTCAAATGCTGTGTTTATATTTATGTAGGTGGTCTCTGTGATTCAAGCATGTTGAATGAAACTGCTTGGATTTTATTATTATTTTGATAGGTATAATTAAAATCTGGCTTGTTGTAGAATTTATATGGTGGTAAGCATTTTTGTTTTCCAAAGATGTGAATGCATGTATACATGACATCAAACAGTTTGAGGTTTACTTGAGCTTCCAGGAAGCACTCAGACACATTTTGTATGCGTGTCTAGTAATCAGCTTTGTTCTCCCTGTTCTGTATTCTTTTCATTATTATCCTTTATTATTTGTTAGTTACAGATAATGAAATTGCCGCATTAAAAGATATGCCGTACTAGGCCCTTTACTTGCAGTCTAATTCTGTTTTGACAATACATGTTAAAGTCCTATTACTGTTTTATAGGAGTGCATTTTTCTTAAATCAGTTATAAATCCTATGGGGAATTAACTTAATGCATTTGATTTAGCTATTACTTTGGTAAAGAATACGAGAAAACACAATATGCAGTTTTACTTCCTTTCTCTTGATGATCTCTTAGGCAAAGTCCAGCCTGCTGACATGGTAACAGGCTTTCCTGTTCTTTGGGCTCTCACGTTGACATCTTTTTTTCGGTCTGACCTGTTCAACTATTAGTTCATGACTGCTGTAGTTTGCTTAATGTACAGATTCTTCATAGACACTTGAATTTATTATCTGGAATTGGTAGTTTGTCCTGTGCCACTCCGTTTGGATTCCATTTGGTAGTTTACCGTCCGGACTTTGTGGATGGAGTTCTTCAAATGTGTATGGTTTGTACAAGTGTTGTCAGAGACTCATGAGGCCTTTTCCTTCCCTTTACAAAAAACAGCTGTGAAGGAATGTGATATATTGTTGGCATGTGATGCAATTCATCTCCACAATTGACTTTTGTTAATGTAAAATAGAGGAGCAAAAAACTGACACTTGCGGTGTTGGCAGGCTGGGTTAGGCAGTTGAAACTGGAACGTTGACTTGGCAAGTTTTAATAGATTCAAGCGAATAGTTTGCTGGAGGATGTTTTCTTTGTTGTGGTTTACTTTTCGTGGGGGAGGACAATTTAATTTTCTTTTAACGTAGGTGAATTTGAATGTTGGTGAAAGTTGAAGACTGCAGAAGTCTTAGAATCTGAAACCTATATTTTTTCGAGATGCCACATAAGTCTCCCACAGCATTACATCCATGTGTCTGTTCTGGGGAGTTCACAGAACAGTTAGTTCTGTTTCCATGATGTTCAAGCCTTGGCCTCTCTTCTGAAGGGCTTAAAAAAGATCCAGTTAGTGTCAGTTGTATAACAGGGGGATTTCTTTTATTACTACTATTTTTTATTTGTGAGGTGGAACCTACCTACTGGGAACTGGACTGCAAATTGCCACCTTCTTTCGCATATATCACCAAATAATCAAATGCTGGTCATGATACCTGGCCCAGGTATGCACTAGTGAGAAGAGACCGTAAAGCTCGATATCCTGGTGTGCAGTCCTGTGGCCTGCCTGTTCTGTGCACGCTTGCAGAGTGTTCAGGCCTTTCAATATCAGCACCTCTCAAACTGGAAATCTGAGGATGGTCACACACTCGGAGTCAGCAGAGAGCAGCCTGGTATCAGTGTTAGTGCTCCAGCTTTATTCCCAGGTCAGACCAAACGGGATGTGCTTTTTCATGCTTTCTCGCAGGTTATCCAAAAACTACCTTTTCCATTGTCCCCAGCGACCCGTAACAGCATCCGTAGCCTCAGACGCTGTGGAGCGGCCTTGATGTCCTGTTGGCAGCTGACAAACCGTCTTGAGCTGGCCTGTGCCACGTGCTGCTCCGGGAAGAGGACCAGGAGTGCTGACACTGGCTTTTTGTCTTCATGAGGGCAGTGAACCTTGCGCACCTTGAGCCTTGCATGCCCAAATGTCCTGGATCGGACAAAGATGGGTTTGGGGTGAGTTGCTCATTCCTGGCTCCTGCACATCACAGTGAAAGGAAACTTTTCCGTTACTCTGTAGTGCCTCCATTCTTTGCACATCTCCTGACTTTGCCTTGTTGGTACCATCGGCCCCTTCCCGTTGGTTTTCACCAGCAGTCAGGCTGGAGGTACGTGCTGATCAGTCTCCTGGCAGGTCGTGGCGAGTTCTGCAGCGTATCCCTCCGAGAGGGCGTTGCTGTTGGAGGTCTTGTCTCTCCAGCCATTTTTTTCTACAAGACCTGTAAAACCAGTGTGTCTTCAAGAGTTTTATATCCCTCTGAATCTTGGATGAAATTAAACAATGTTTTATAATGTTGCTGGTACAAGTGAGGGTGTACCAGCCTTGAATCTCTAGAAAATTAGACTAAAATCCTTTAGACAAAAAGCAGTGTCTCCAAGAGCCGTCGGGAAGGCGGAGTTGGAGAGGAATGTATAGCATCTGTTCTGGAAAGACTGGAATTTAGTGATGTCCAGCTCGTAAAACTGTTGTTAGTGAATAGCATGCTTCAAAGGGCAGAGTTCATTCTGTAAGAGTAGGTTAAATTTTATTTTGCTTCACTATTTTTTAGAAGAGAACATAAAACTGTCTTCTCTGTAGCGCGAGTAAAGTTTGAGAGATGTCCAGTGGGAAGATGCATGCAGTTTGCTCTGACGGTGGAGAGATTTTTATTGGAATCTCAGAATCTCACTGCTTCGATCTCAACTTCCCTGCCATGAGATCATCACATGCCTGTCAAATTGACCAAAAAAAGCTTCAAGTTCCCTTTAAAACATGATGCTTGTTAGACTAAAGTATTTCTTACTAATGCCCTATTCTTAGCTAAACTGAACGAACACAATTGTCTTTAAGCGTCCTGTCTTGCTTGCTTTGCAGCCTGGATGCCAGTTGCAGTTGGTATATTTTGCTCCAGACGCAGAACTGCGGTGACCCTGCCAAATAGTTTCTTAGTTGCATTTAAAAATAAAAGGGCTGTTTATACATTACAATCCACAGAGGGCCTGAAATCAGTATGTCCTAAGATGAATACAAATCATAGACAAAAAGCGTTTTGTTGGAAGGCTTCACAAATATGGAACCGATTACTGCTAGACAGCACAGATTTCCTTCTGTAAGATGGAGCTGATATAATTCCTTCCTGACAGCTAGAAATTATAATTGAATTGAGGTTTTTTTCTGTGTTTTAAGCTTTACCAACCTTCAAAATGAGCAAGACGGATGGAACCCTAATCCATCTGCGATTGATGAGAGTTCTGCCTGTAAAGCAGGATTTTAACCTGAATATCCATCCAGCTGCCCAGTTTCTGTGGAGGTACTGCTAACAATTTCATAGCTGTGGTTTTGTCAAGCATTTAATTTCATATGGATTAAAATATCTCTTACAGGTCAGTGACAGAATTCAATTTGCAGATTGACCGCAGATCTTTTTTGAGGAAGAACAGATTCCACTATGACAATGAGTAAAACGAAATTCTGTTCTTAACATGTTGCCCTACCAGCTCTTTGTAACACATCCAGCAGAACTCAGTCTCTGGGTAGTATTCTGTGACATCTCTAAGAG